AGGCTTTCTACTCCCGTAAATAGTTATACTGGGAAACCCAAAGAGGCCAGTTCTACTCTGTCCTATAGGATTGCCATGAGTCACTGACTTGATGGCAGTGAGGGTTTTCTTGCTTTTAAATTCAACTTCCATACTTCCATACTTCCTCTAGGCGCTTTCTATTCCCTGCACTGGACATAAGGCTCTTCCTGCCCCACTGGAACATCTACTCCTTTCACTTTTTGACAGGGCCTGGATGTCAAGCTCAGCAATGATCTGTTTCCTTAAACATGCCTCCTGGGACACTGAGTCCAAATCCTGTTGAAGACTTACACCCTCTACTTCATTCTGCAACACTCCCATGGGGCATGTGGACTGAAACTGTCCATTGCTCCCTTTTCCTTGGGGCTCTGTGTCTTCAGGAGAGTGATACAGGGGTAGCAGGAAGAGTCCACATTTAATGATCCCAGGATTCATTCCCCTGGGTAATAGCTAATCTACAAAAATTCGCTGTGGAAACCTGACACTGGTTTCTTCATCAGCTTTTCCTTGGATTCTGTGGCACCACCATGTCTAGTTAAATTTGTGCTCAATATAGTCATGGGTTTCTATGGAAAAACACCTAATTTTACATGACTTCAGCAAACATGTGGCACAAATAGTTTGGCAGTGGGCTCAAACCTACCCAGAGGCATGTCAGGTGACAGGTCTAGGAATCTGCTTAGGAATGTTCACAGCCATAGAAATCTTGTGGAGTGCAGTTCCACTCCCTACCAGTGGGTCACCCGGGTCAGGAGTTCCTTGGTGGGGACTTATTCTTTAAAATGCACCAGGCTCTTTTCTGTATGCACCACCTTCTCTCGCAACACTTGGGCTTCTCTTACCCATCTGCTGATTTCCAGCATCTTCTCCAGCAGTTTTTCCTTTTATTATATTGTGGCATTTCCCAAAGTTTGTTCTGGGAAACAATAATTGTGCCTCAGTGTTAACAGGTGTTATGTGAAAAGTGAAGAGAGGAGTTGAGTTTCATAAACACAGGGATAAATAAAATTAGATGATTTTCCTATGTAGTACAAAGTTCCAATATAGGAGGAAAATATGATATAGTTTTCTCAAAAATTATATAGACATAAAATCACGGATCCCTATTTAACCTGGCATATCACAATAAACAGTAGTGTATTGAACATGTTTTGAGAAATTATACTCTCCAAAACACAAAACCAAACTCACTGCTATTATATCAAATCGATTCTGCCTCTTTAAGACAGGATAGAACTTGTTCCTTGTGGATTTCCAAGACTGTAACTTTTTTCGGAACTAGAAAGCCTCATCGTTTTCCTGAAGAATGGCTGGTGGTTTCAAACTGCTGACCTTAAGCTGTGCAGCCCAACATGTAACCACTACAGCACCAGGGCTTCTCTAGATGCTGGTATTTACTGCCTACAGAGAGGACTTTCATTCCTGGACTTTTAATCCAATACTGCTATTTCTTTCACTTCCTTTTTAAAAAAAATACTGTCAATGCTACTTTATTTTTATTCACCCTGTTTATAATTCTTGGGGCGAGTTGAGTTTTTACATATACTTTTAAAATGTTGAAATTTGACTTTCATTTTATATAGTTATCATCAAACATATACAAAAATTAAACTGAGCTAGTTGGCTTAATTTTTTAGCATGTGCCTATAATCAAAACTTCTATTTTAAAAGTTTGCTTACTACTGGTAATTCATGTTTTTCTTGTTCTTTTGGTAGATCAGAGCCACACTGGAATTTTCATTACTGCTCAGTGCACATAGTTGTAACTTTCCTTCAGCGTGCAGCACCCCAGTGGTCTTTTCTTTACACTTTCTGCAATATAAGTTTATGAATTTTTTGAGCTTGAAGCAATTTGGACCCCTAAACTTCTGGTAGTGATTTATAAGATGCTCTCAAAAGTAGTCATGAACCTTACTGATGAAATCAGACTGTTAAATTATGTTGGTTCACAAGATAATTCAGGAAGATGAATTTTCTTAGACTCCCTTGTAAATACCTTAATTTACATAAGAGTGTTTGGTATGAATGCATCTTGTTTATTGCTCTTAACTTGATTGCACTTTGCAGATTTTTTAAAACAAATTAAAGGTTTGTGGCAACCCTGCGTTGAGCAAGTCTACAGGCACCATTTCACTTTGTGTCTGTGTGTCATATTTTGGTATTTCTCCTAATATAGCACATTTTCATAATGTTACACACTTGAGTGACTAAAGCCCAGTGCAAATGTAACATATATGCTCTGGGAAACCAAAAAAGCCCATGTGACTAACTTTATTGAGATATATGCTTTATTGCCCAGGTCTAGAAGTGAGCTTGCATTATCTCCAGGATATGACTGTACAGAACATTATCAACAATCTGAAACCAACTTATCATATATACTTGAGTATAAGCTGACCCGAATATCAGCTGAGGCACCTAATTTTACCACAAAAATTGATAAAAAACGAGCTGACAAACTCAGCTTATACATGAGTATATACGGTATATGTAAATTGCTCATGTTGGTCTTTTTTGCTAAATGAATGTTCAGTTTTTTTATTTTGATATGGTGACAAAGGGCTCACGCCCAGGCCTGGGGGAAAGTACATTTTTCCTGATCCCTTCTCTGGTGGCCAATTCCTCTGCCTGCGCTGGCCAAATGACAGACAATAGTTGATGACAAGGGAACTGAGGGCAAGAGGTAGTAGGTGATGTTAAACCACGCTACTCATAATTTTTCAACTGGCAATTACACGTTAGAGAAGAATACTTATCGATAGATTATAACTACCTTATTAGAGATATGGGAAAACTGGGAATAAATCAATTCTCTGACATTTAGAGAATGGGTAGGAAGAAAGTATGCTAATTTATGAATCATTATGAATCACATTTAAATTTTTTTCTATAAAAATACATGAGTATATAAGAGAGGAAAGATCACAGATGGCTTTTTTAATCAGAAAAAAATAGATGAAAGTAGAAAAATCTAGATATAAAAATGTTTGCAGTGATCAGATTATTTAATATAATAAATATACTAGAGGAATAGCTGTTATTTGCAAGAGACATGTTCTTTGAATTCTTTTGTTTACTGAAGTTAGATTAAAAAATGCAAGTTCCTAGACAAGGTACTTTATCACCAAACAATAATATTTATGAGTATTAAAATATTTTATCTATAGGCAAACAATAATATTTATGGGTTTTAACTTTATGCAAGTTTATAAATATATATACATATGTGTAAAATCACACACACGTGTCTATGTATATATAAATCACACAAACACACACATGAAGGGTCTCCAAAAAGTCTGTAGAAAAGTTGCATTATTTTTTAATTCCATTTTTTCTATGAGCTTTTAGAAGTTGCACATGTAGACACATGAAGCATTGCTGTGGGTAAAAGGGCTTTCTCGTTAAATATGCTCTCTATATTCAGAAGAAATACATGTTTGTTTTTTTACAAGAATATAGTCAATTTTCCTGATGAGTCTACATCAGAAGGACACAGTCAATATTTCCTTCCAATAGCTTCACCTCCACATAAACGATGGAGAAAGTCATCCCAAGTATGTCAGGTGCACAGCAGCAAGAACACTCAAGACGCTGTGCACGCAAACCAAGACAAATATTCTAAAAGTAGACGCTTAAGAAAACCTGACTTAATTTTGTTTAACTTTTGAAAAATATGAGGATTCTTAACTCTTCCAATCGTCTAAACCTAACTGAACAAATGCAGTTAGTTACCTGGGGTTGGAAACAGAGAAGAGGAGCCCTCATGTACCTACCTACCTGCCAGTCTGATTGCCCGACTGTGAAAGTGATAGAGTTCATAGATTCCAACACTCCAATAGGACAGAGGTAAGGAAAATAGAAGCCATCCTTAAATGTTGAAGAGGTCTATATAGAACAAATTCTATAGAAAGAGAGACCGTGAGGGTGTTTTCTTTTGGCCAGAAAACTACCTGAGAGACAGGCACAAAGCCAAGCAGCTGTCCTCTGTAATCACTTATTGTTCTGTTTGCAGCTGCTGAGGGTGCATGAAAGCGTGTGAACCACTACACTGGGTGAGGCGCACTCTGTGTCCAGTCGGAGTGTGGAGGCGAACACAAATCATAACACGGAATTGAAACACACGAATACCTCCTGGACATCAACTGTCAACATTGTCCACGTTAAAGGAGAGGTCCACCCCAACAACCCTGGGTGATCTTTTATGTTGTTCACACCTAAACCAAACAAAGGAACCCTGAGAGTGTAGTGCTTACAAGTTGTTAGTTCAAAACCACCAGCAGCCCTATAAGAGAAAGATGGGTCTTTCTACTCCTGTAAACAGTTATAAGTCTCTAAAACCTTTCAAGAAAATAGCATCAGGACTATTTCTGAGCCTGATACAAACATCCTTTCCTAATCTATCAATAAGGCACATATGAAATGAAAATCTCTGTTCTGCTCCAAGCAGCAGATGATGAATTAAGGCCTGTCCCAGGAAGAACTCCAAAGGGGCACTCCCTCCCTGGACTGCTTGCTGGGAAGCTGAGAGCTTCACTCACCCCCTGGATTTCTTTAAAATGACATTTCTCACTTATTTTTGCCATGCTTTCTTTATATTGACACATTTTTGTATGAAGAAAACATTATATCAACATTAAAATCGTTTTTAAAGAAACAATTAATCCACAGCTTGTCACTATATAAATCATTCTCATTTGTCCATCACATACATAATTTGTAGTTGTAATTGCACCAAACATATGGAGCATGCATTTCTAAGGCATTACTTACCATTCCCTGACAACATGCTCTGATAAACTTCCCTGGCTTGCATACTCAATTAGCACATATTATAAAAAAATCAGTATAAGCTGCAGGCCCATAAAACTATAAGCATTTAATGGACTCCCCTCAATATATACTACAAAGCATATTTTCCTGAAAATGTAATTTTAAGACACATAATAATTCACATTTATAAGCCACTGTTATCTTACCTCTTCTCCAGACAGATAGTAGGCTGAGAGCAGTCCCCCAACAAAGCGTATATTTACTTCAAACACAGATATTTCAGCATTCTATGAAAAAAAAAAGGTCATAAACTTGGAATATATAATTCATAAAAATATCATTGTAGCAATATGTAATAAATATTTAATTATTTTTCAAATCTTATATGCTTGTCTACAGCAGTTTACATACAAGGGGAAAATTCCTATATTTAATGTGTCAACATACACATACAGATTTAAAATAGTATTTAAAGTGAAAATTATAAAAATCTAAAATCCTTTTGAACTAATAGCAGACATAATTCTTAGTGTTCTTTATTTAATTATCTGCATCCTCTATTTTTAAGGGGCACTGTGAGTTTACATTGGGCTGCTAACCACAAAATTGAGTGTTTAACTCAACCAGTCACCATCATGGGATAAAAGGAGGCTGCTCGCGCTCATAAATGTTTAGACTTGAAAGTGCTACACAGAGTCACTATGAGTTGGAATCAATTCAATGGGAGTGGTTTGTTTTGCTTATTCTCTATGCCGATAGGAAATGGCCTGGATGATCTATTTTTCTACTCTGTGTTCATTTTATTTATTTGTATGTCTTTTCTCCACAGAGGCCATTTGAGAGCTTTAAATTTGG